TTTTCAGTTTTATCAAGCATAATGTCCTTTACCAGGGTCTGGAATTTAAGTTCCCTTAACAGACATGAATTGAGTACCCACTGTACTATGCAAAGGAGTTCCTGGTCTGAAGATTACAATTGGGTAGGAGATATCACAGCAAGCCTATCAGACGGGTCTTAAGCTAGGTTGTCTAGAGAAACAAAACCACTGACACTCATATTTAAATAACACAGAATTTTATATCAGGAAGACATCCCAGCCCAGTCCTACTCAAGGTCATGGGTTTGATGCTAGCCAAGCCCTCTTCAGGCTGTAGGCCAATGATGCAGAAAAGGTGAACAGGGAAGCAAAAAGATCACAGACTTGTGGTTTCAGCATCCCATGGTCGGTGACAGCATGGTAGGGTACCAACAGCTCTCTAGGTTGGTGGTCCACATGAGGCCATGCCTGGGGGTAGATACAGAGTCCCAACAGGAAAGCAAAGCACAAGAGCTAGGAAAGGGAACTTCCCAGTGTCTCTTTGTAAAACAGCCACACCCACCCCCTCAAGGAGGGATTATCAGGTTGTTACCTGATTGACAAGTTGACTTCACCTTTACACTTTCACACAGGTTCAAGTTGACATAAAATCTAACTGTTCCGTGAGATTTTCACCAGACTCTGGGAATTTCCTAAAGGAAGCTATTGACTTGGACTTCTATCTTCCAGCTGGAGAACAGTATTAAGGAGAGGGGTACGGAAGGAAAGCAAAACATGATGCATGCTTTTCCTTTCCCTTAGGAGAACAAACACGATTACATTAAAGGGCAGTGGCGGTTAGGCCCGATTTAAGCTGAAATCTTTATCAATATAGAAATAAAAGGCGACAGGAGGCTCTTGTGGAAAGGTCAGACACATACATTCAGAGCAGTAGGTGATTGGATGATAGAATAAAGCAGCATTCACTGTTCACTGAGCTGAAACTGTTTTCAGGTAGAAGTAGAGATGACTGAGAACTCCTAATGAAGTTACAGACAAACATGTCTGTTTTTCTACTGTAGAAAATTCAAGGTCCCTGCGCAGAATACTCTTCACTCTACCTATATGATTGAGTTTTTCCTTTCACACTTCAAATTTTAGCTTAAATGTTAATTTCCTTCTATTGTATCTAAATAGGTCTGAGGGGGTGTATCTGTCCTGGATTGTGTTTCGAACTCTTATCTGGACCAGTGTGCATACTCTTGTCTAGCCGGATTTCTAAGGTAGAATTGGGGTCATGATAGTTGGTGGGGGTGGGGGGCATTAGAAAACTAGAGGAAAGATGTATGTTTTGTTGGTGCTATACTGCACCCTGACTGGCATGTCTCCTCCTTGTGACTCTTCTATAGTCTAATAGGCTACAGATTGGTTTGGGGTCTCTGGTCCGAAGCCCCTTGTTCTCAACAGCATGTTTTCGTTTTGTTTTTTATTGGGTCGTCTGGTGCCTGCTACCTGTCTCCGCCAACACCTCATGGTCACATCGACTGGTATGCGTCTTCCATGTGGGTTTGTTGATTCTCAGCTAGATGGCTGCTTGTTTTACTTCAAGTCTTTAAGATCCCAGACACTATATCTTTTGATAGTCAAGCACCATCAGCTTTCTTCACCACATTTGCTTATGTACACATTTTGTCTTTAGCGATCATGTTGGGAAGGTGAGCATCACAGAATGCTGGGTTATTAGAACAAAGTGTTCTTGTGTTGAAGGAGTACTTGAGTAGAGGCTAAATGTCTGTCTGATACTTTAATACTTAACATATAAATAAAACTTCTCATTGCCTCTTAAGGTAAGACATTTCTGGGTTATTCATAAGGTTTACACACTTGGCTTCTTAATAAAAAGTTGGAATTTCAGATAAGGAAATCTACTTCTAAAAAATCAGTCCATAAAATCCTATGGAGCACAGTTCTACTCAAGACACATAGAATTGCATCAACTGGATGGCAACTGGATTTCTTAAGGTAAATAAAGTTTGCCCATACAGTTCAGAGATATTAAAGTGTGTAGTTCTCCTGTTAGGTGCTGTGGAGTTGATTCCAACTTGATGTAGAACAAAATGAAACACTGCCTGGCCCTTCACCATCCTCACAATTATTTCTGTGCCTCAACCCTTTGTTGCAGCCAATGTGTCAATCTATCTTGTCAAGGGGCTTCCCCTTTTTCTCTCCACTTTACCGAGCATGATGTCCCTCTCCTGGGTTGGGGCTCTCCTGACAACATCTCCAAAGTATGTAAGATAAAGTCTTACCATCCTTGCACATAAGGAGTACTCACGCCTTACTTCTTCCAAGATAGACCAATTTGAACTTTTGATATATGTTATTGAAGTATGCATGTGTATGTTACCAAAATAGTAAATCTACGTAAAAACTAATTATATTGTATAAATGTATGCTTAAGCGAATTTTTAAAGGCCCAAAAGAAATATATTAACAGCATGAATAGGATAGGCTAGATGATGTCTTGTTGTTAAAATGAAATATCAACTCAGAACATGAGTTGCGTACTGACCGCTCTGGCACTGAGGACATGTGATGGCTCATGGTCTGTCACTTATCTCTGTTCCAACGACTGAGGAATATTTGTTTATTCACCACAGCAGGGTGATCTCACTTAGCCTTCACTTTAAGCAAATGCAACATTTTCTATGGTAAATGCACCTCAGTTTTTTATTGGGTCAACAAAGGAATGCTGCTTGAGGTCACTATGATTATAAGAGCAAAGAAAACACAGCTGTTAGAATTTGAGAGACTTGCTCATTATACAGTAGTTACACTAGTATTTTCAAAGATGAATACTTTTAAAGTTTCAAAATGAATGCATCAATTCCTGTTTTGAGAAATAAGAATATGGATTATGGTCTACTCTTTACTTTAAGTGCTTACTCCTAAAACATGGATTTTGGAAACCAGCTAAGAATAAACACAAAATGTGCAAACCTAATGAATTCTGAACTTCATTGATCACAAATACTCAGGTGTATGAAGGAGTCATCTTCTCTGACCCTTGATTTTCTCTTCTAAAAAATGATAGACTTGGAACAAGAGATATCTAATCTCCATAGTGTTGGGGATTATATGCATTGGCATAATATTGAATGGTATTAGTATGGTATATGGCAATGATCACAAGGAAACCTTAGATTTTCATTTAACCAATCACCTTGCTATATGAGATTACATATGAAGACATTAAAACAAGACCACAAATACTTTACTTTTGGCCACAGATTTTGCCAAACGCTGCTACAAAGACCTTTGGTATAATCATTTTTTTCTTATGTAAGATCAATATATGAGGCCTTGAGCCAGAGTGAGCTGACAGACTCACTTCTCCTTTAGCTGTCCCAAAGTTCAAACACAGGTCTCAGGTCTTACACTTCATTGAGATGTAATTAAAAACAACATTAGCAAGATTCACAGAAAACAACAGAATTCTCAAAAGCAAGGACTCATCCACTCTAGACCATCTCATGGGTGGGAAAATGCCCGTTGGTCCAGCTGCTGAGAGAGAGAAGCGGGGGGACACGGGGGTGGGGGTGGGGGTCACGGAGATACAAAATGAGACTCAGAAAATCAGAAAGTATTCCTGACATGACAAGACGGGGACAAAGTCTCTTACACTTTGTGCCAAGGACAAATTGTATGCACATATCAAGAGCTCTGCAGCCCTTTTTTGGAAGGGTGATCGTTTCTAGTCAATAAATAGCAGAGGAAAAGAGCGGTATCTGGACATGCCCCTGACTGGTGTTTGAACCATTACTAGGAGCCACCCACTGCCATGGAGAGCACGGAAGCAGCCCTCAGCTTTAATGTACCAAGGCGGAGCTCTTGCCTTTGCCAAGAAAGCAAGAGCAGCATCTTTCCTCTGGCACCCTGAAGCCTGCGCCTCTACTCCCGAAACCGAGTTCCAGTCTCAGGAACGTACGGCAGCCGCCATGAGTCAGCACTGACTCAATGGAAGCAAGTTTAATACAAATTAGTTTCACTACTTGTTAGAAATAATCAAGTCTAGTCCCTGATACAATGACTGTCCGATCCTGATGGCGCATAGTTCTTCATATAGTTTAGTTTCTTGGATTATTTGTTTAGCACACAGATGGAATAAATACATAGTAGGAGGATATGGAGAGAGTAGAAGCAACCCTACTTCACATTTTTCTTGATTTTAAACAACACAGTATTTTCATGTTCTATGCAAATGACTAATTCTTTTGGTGTGTTTACCAGTTCTGCATGAGAAGTCTTCCGGAATTGCCATTCTTCTCAATGTTATTCAGAGTGTGGTGTCATCCCAACAAGGCACATGCCTTTGGGAAGTCAACAAAACACATGCAAACATGTTTCTGGTCATTTCTTCTTTCAGCCAAGATCCACCTGACATCAGGAATGATAGGCCTTGTTTCACATTCAGTCCTCTCATGCCACGGACCAGCGAGTGCATTTCCCTGGACAGTTGTCCGGAGACACCCTCTCCTACCGGGAGAGGGTCAGCTTTCTCATTGCGGGAGCTGCCTTCTGCACTGGCTTGTCCCGGCCCCTGGGGGTTGTGCCACCACTCCTTCACCTGCTTCTCACTGTCCATGCCCTCGTCAGTCTGACACCTCTCCTGCTCAGCCGTCTCACCAGAAGTACATCTGACAGCCACAGTTCTACCAATACAGTCTCCAAGGGAATCTACGTTTTCACTAAGTAGGGACCTTAAAAATCTTCCTATCTCCGCCGGTTATTTAATTCCGAAACCACGTCTGCTTTTTCTGTGTCTCTCAGGACAGCACACCATGCTTTCCCTACCAAATCCCGTCTCCATTATCTACTGCTGCTACAACAGAAATACCACAAGGGTCCGCCACTGCCAAACAGAAGTCTATTCCCTCACAGCTTAGGAGGTTAGAGATCCTTCCAGAGAATGCTCCCGCTGTTGGCTCTGAGGAAAAGGCTTTGTCTCCTTTCCATAGTTACCCATGGAGTGCAGGGACCCTTGATCCAAATGACATCTTTTATGTCTTGCTGCTGCTGCTGCTGCTGCTGCTGCTGCTTCTTCTTCTTCACACTACCCAGGAGGCTTGCTGTTTGCAGCCATTGCACAGCGGCCCCCACGAGGAGGAGGACGGTCGGCTTAATAGGCTGCAGAGCCTTGCTCTTCTTCTGCGATGCTACAAAGGTCCCTCTTTCTCTGCTTGCTTGTTTAACCCATCTATAGCTCAATAGCTACATCATCCTAAAGACGAAATCCTGCCTCAGTCATATAACTGCTTCCAATCCTGCCTCATTAATATCATAGGATGTATAACACATAGGGAAGGATCTGTGGTCGGGCTGTGGTCCAAAAGGTCTGTAGTTCAAAACCATCAGTTGGCATCATTCAATGGCAGTGTTTTATAACCCATGGAATAATCAAATGAGCGATAATTATATCAGATCACAAATGTGGAGGATAATTATATAATAATTAGAATTTGTCACATGTTTTGTCACATGTTTGGGGAGCATATGATTCAACTCATAACAGATAGCTAGAGAGGAAAATATATGTATTTTAAATGCACAGGGACAGGCCACGGCTTCGGGTAGTCTTTGTTGCAGCGAAGAAGAGGAAAAAAAAGAAAACTTTTTCTAAGTTTTTATTTTCTGAAAATAAAGGGCTGCGCTTACGCTAGTTACACCCTTGTGCTATACACGGAGCTACTTCTCTCCTTGTACAGCATAGCAGCTGTACAAGGTAATGAGTTAGGGGAGATTAACAACCACAACAGAAATAGTTCAATAAATACCTTTATGCTTCCTTTAAAAATCCAGCCAAATTTTTCTATCTCTCGAACTTTGCGTCTCATAATTTTGAATCGACTTAGCTTCAAAGGCTCCAAGCTCTTTATTTGTGATGCTAAAACGGTCTTAAGCATTTTTAATGAGTCAAAAAGGGAGACATCATTTTAAATGAATTCTGTATTTTCATCACACCTGAATGTGAAATAATGATGTTTTAAAGAGTTAGTTTTGAAAACACTGAGTATCTTCAAAGAGCAATCATATCACTATTTGTGATAATGACAAAAACTGCCTTCACAAAGGATTTTTGCTTAACTATGCTAAATATGAGCTCACAGGAAACTTAGGGTGCTTAGGAAGTCTGCGTGTAGCTTGAAAGTGGCATATTGCTCAGCATCGCCAACACCTTGCTACTGTACAATCAAACTACCCACTTCCAAAGCACCTATGAACCCAGCAGGGCTTATTTTACAGGAAAATGCAATGCTTTTGGAAGAATTTTTTTTAATCTCATAAATTAAGAGTGTTTTCTCACTGAGAAAATGATGAGAACTTAAAGATCATTTTTAGAAAGCAGGGGCCTTTGTGGGGCTTAGCAAAATGTATGCTGCCCTAGAATTGAACGGTGACTCTGAAGCCACCCAATTTCATTATTCTGTTTAACAGAGAGGTCTGGGGAAAAATGACTAATACAAATGAGACAACTCATTCATGGAAGAATAAGCTGCACAAATCTAGAGAGCCCTGGAGTCTTGTACTAGCACATACATTGTGAAAAACAGTAATTGGCAGGATGTGGGAAATATCTTTAAAATCCCGAGAGAGTATAAGTTGTAAGCCTAGAATTTTTTCGAGGGCAAAGCGACAGCTTCAAAGTAAATAGTGAAGTTCAGTCCCAAACTCTGCCTTAAACCACACTGACAACTCACGCTCGCTGCTCCTGCCTTTTCTGGAGAGGGCATGAGCAGTGAACACACAGTGCAGTGACCATTGTGTAGCTTTATAAAAACTTTCCGTGTAGGCGCTTCTTTTCTTTTCTTTTTTTTCAGGCAGCATTGTGTTTTATTGTGCATGGAATCACCATGAATTGGGGTCAAGCCAGGGTTGATTGACAACAAGCTCAAGTCATTATAGTGTGATCCAGAGGATGGCAGGAGAGTGACCATTCAGGTAATTAGCATTATTTTTATCTAGCCAGACATTTTTTCACCTTATATAGCAACTACTGTGATTATGTGCTGCGTGTTCCAATTTTTAAAAAAATCATTTTATTGGGGCTCATACAACTCTTATCACAATCCATCCATACATCTGTTGTGTCAAACACATTTGTACATTTGTTGCCCTCATCATTCTCAAAACATTTGCTTTCTACTTGATCCCTTGGTATCAGCACATTTTTTCCCTCCCTCCCTGCTCCCCCTTCCCTCATGAATCCTTGATAATTTATAAATTATTATTATTTTGTCATGTCTTACACTGTCTGGCGTCTCCCTTTACCCACTTTTCTGTTGTCCTTCTCCCAGGGAGGAGGTTATATGTAGATCCTTGTAATCGGTTCCCCCTTTAACCCCACCTTCCCTTCGCCCTCCTGGTAACTCCACGCTCACCACTGGTCCTGAAGGGATCATCTGTCCTGGATTCCCTGTGTTTCCCGTTGCTATCTATACCAGTGTACATCCTCTGGTTTAGCCAGAATTGGGATCAAGAGTATGGGGGGAGAGGGTTGGGGGTGAGAGAGGAAGCATTTAGGAACTAGAGGAAAGTTGTATGTTCCATCATTGCTACACTGCACCCTGACTGGCTCATCTCCTCCCTGCAACCCTCCTGTAAGGGGATGTCCAGTTGCCTACAGATGACTCTTGGCTCCCCACTGCACACTCCCCTCATTCACAGGCATCAGGTATCAGTGTATGCTTCTAAAAGGTCCAGGATTATAGGAGATTCAACCCTCTTCTAGGCCAGTGAGCTCCTGTGTACAGACTGAGTTTATTCTAGTCATCCCTCTAACAATTTCTAAAGGTTAGCAAAAGGTTGATCACATAAGAGATACAGGCACTAATTTTTTTCCTAAACTTCAGTGGAGGTTGAACTATATATTAAGTTTTGTGACCCTATACTTAGAAAAATATCATTAAGTAGAAATCTAGGTCACGAAGATGAGTTGGGGATTCTGTGGGTAAATAGTAATGTTCTGTTAACTCTTCTACTGCCTATTAAACAGCCACAGTGAGTTAAATGAGAAACAACATGTAATTTGTAAGTTAAAATGTGTGCAATGCATATTATGATAGAATGTAGTGAATTCACATTTTAGAATATGAAAAACAGTATTTAGGTGTATGGCAAGTCATCAGGCTCATTAATGGATTTGAATTCAAGTCTATTCTTATAAATAATTCAATACCCAAATGGTATGAGAATCTTTAGAGATAATGAGAATGTTAGTATTACATACCTGGGTAAGTGAAAACTATGTACATTTGCTTAATGAGCTATAATTGGAAAATATAAAATTATTATATATGCTGTCATAATATAATATAGGATAGGTGATATCCTGTTGTCTTAAACTGATGCCTGAGATCTAAAATCACAGATAGCAAACTGCTACCTTACTGTTTTATGAGATAACAGAATTCAACGCAATCAATTACATCCATATATCCAGCACAACTGTCTCTTTTTCTCCTCCTGACAATGGAAGAAAGTTTAAAGGAAGAAGTGATCACCCCTTCAAACCAGGAAAGAAGGAACTCTGGGAGAATCTCTAGCCACTGGGCCACAGGACTCCCTCCCCAGTTGCTACTTGTTTATGGTAGGCTCTTTACGACCTACTCTGAACTATCTCAAGTATGTAACAAAGAATGCAGTAAAAAAACAGCAGGCAGATACAATTTGATGGCAGTGTGTACCAACCTGCCATACCACCACTTTCCACGTTAACTATTCATGGAGTTGGTAGAGCCAGCCTCGATGGCAGTGAGTTTGGTTTTTGGGTTACTTGGCTATCTACTGACTCCAAGTGAAGTATGGTTTCCCCACCTGGTGAGGAAGAGATTTGCTGCGTAAAGCCTAAGATCTGCAAGGTGAAAAAGAAGAACAGATGGCGCACCCTGCCATCTGGGACCTAAGAAGATGGGAAGCTCAGCAAAAGACACATACTAACCTGGCAGACAGGAGCATATGACACAGCTATGTTGTTCCCATAAAATAAATAGGCTCCCTATGGAATGATTTGAAATATGTATTAATATCTTAATTCTTATGTTTTAAAGGGCTCTTCAGCAAGGGATGTATTTGCATTTTCACAACCCTTTGCTTCTGCCTGACCCTCAGTACCAAAGATCTTAAAGAGACACTAAGGATTGTTGCATTTGCCATGCTTTCAAACACACACACATATGCACATATGCATACCCTAAATGCTAGAGAGAGAAGGCAAACAGGTGCCCAGTGTGCATCTTCCCTATTGCAAATTTGGCAAGGAGCATCCATAGAATGTGGAGCGACAACAATGAAATTTAAATCAAATATGAAGTTCTTCTTTTTTTCAGTTAGATTGAATTTTAACAAGTAAACTTGATGGGCATGATTCATCAAATGGCTAAACACAGAGTTACAATATGACCTGACATTTTTAATCCTCCATCTATATCTAAAAGATATTCCGTCTGATGCCCCATCATATCAATTTCATTGCAGCACTATTTACGATAGCCAGGATTTGGAAACAATCATCACAGCCACCAACTGAAGAATGAATAAGCCCATGTGATACAAGGTGATACAATGGAATAGCATTTGGTCATAACAAACTGTGAAATAGTAGGGCAAGTGAAGAAACTATTGCTGCAAGGGTTCCAGTTCCTGAACACATGGTCATTGTAAGCAAAACATGCTCACATATAACTCTGCCATCAGTGGATGACTGACAAAGAGTCCCTTAGTAATATTTGGTCTTGGTCTTATCAGTGGGCCTTCAGAATAAGGCCAAAATATGGACTTTCAAGGGGATCTATTGGGCCAATTAAATTTCAGGTGGAGAAGTCAGTTCAAAAGATTTTTTTGACCACTGAGATTTGGGATTCCAAACAGGTAATCGTTATAGATTTTCTTGAAGGATGCAGGATGATCATGGAAAATGGCACCGGTGAGAAAAAGGACAGAAAAGTTGCCCTGAAGGATTTTTTCCCTCATGACAATGTATGTGCTCATTCTTCAGGGGCAGCAAAGACGGTCCCATGATGATTTTGTCATGGGATATCTTATTTTTAATTTAGGGATATCAGTCCTGATGTTGCCACTTCAGACTTCCTCATTTGTCCCCAAAGAATTTTAAAGGAATATGATATGAGCCTTTT